GACTGACTATTATAAGCGTTATTTATTATTGCATCAAAATTGACAAAATGACCTATTTTGCATCTTTTTATTCTGTTTTTTGTCTGTACATTTGACAGCTTTGCTGCCTTGTTAAAATAAAGCCTAGTTAAAATAAAATGATGTTGCAGTCACCTGTTTAAAACTTATTTCCACCAACTTGGATATCTTAAGCACCTAAAAAATCAAACAAAATTGTGGAATCATCTGCTACTGTACACAGGGACGGCTTCAACGCCACTAGAGCACCCCTTTTCCACGTTTTCTTATCGCTGTAAGCAAAAGTACACAGAAAAGCATTTTCACACTTTATTTAAGCATTCTGAATCCGCTTCCAAGTTTTAAAATCAATCAGCTATTATGTCAACGTAAAGATGAGTGAAAACCACCGAAATATTAAAATAGTTAAGAAATATGCCTGGAAATCTCCCCAGTTATACAATGGATCTCTGGCTCAACACCTGGCAGATATTTCTTCCATTGTCTGAAGGACACTGTGCGCCTATCAACTCTTTAAGCTATATGTTAGAAATTAAAATAAATCATTAAAACATTACGTCAACCGAATATATATAATATATCGAATTTCAAGCACATACTTTTTGTCGCCCCCCCTCGTTCTTTTGAAACCTCCTTCCACCCTTAAAAAGTAGCTGCCTATGCTCCCGATTCTAGTAAATAATTCTAGTCAAATGTTTTTTTAAAAATTAGCTTCGCTTTGATTTTGGTTTTCCTTCACTTCAAAGGATTATTCGCTAGTCTTCGGTAATTTCACAGGGTTAGTTTTATCTGCGATGACAGTCTTGTCAATGGACGGGTCCAGAAATTCCTTCCCCGTCATGTCTGTGAAGTTGGTGCAGGTTTTAATGGCGGAATTAGGAACCTACAACATAGAAATGATGTTAGTTAAAAAGGTTACTCAATCACGAGTCAGTCATGGAGTGTCAATGAGCTATTACCTCTTTCTGACATAAAAATACGGTTNTGCGCCTATCAACTCTTTAAGCTATATGTTAGAAATTAAAATAAATCATTAAAACATTACGTCAACCGAATATATATAATATATCGAATTTCAAGCACATACTTTTTGTCGCCCCCCCTCGTTCTTTTGAAACCTCCTTCCACCCTTAAAAAGTAGCTGCCTATGCTCCCGATTCTAGTAAATAATTCTAGTCAAATATTTTTTTAAAAATTAGCTTCGCTTTGATTTTGGTTTTCCTTCACTTCAAAGGATTATTCGCTAGTCTTCGGTAATTTCACAGGGTTAGTTTTATCTGCGATGACAGTCTTGTCAATGGACGGGTCCAGAAATTCCTTCCCCGTCATGTCTGTGAAGTTGGTGCAGGTTTTAATGGCGGAATTAGGAACCTACAACATAGAAATGATGTTAGTTAAAAAGGTTACTCAATCACGAGTCAGTCATGGAGTGTCAATGAGCTATTACCTCTTTCTGACATAAAAATACGGTTTACCTCTCTAAGAACAATTGAATTGAATTCTTACCATAAAAAGTTTTTTTCAATTTGAATTTGCAGTTAAACAGGTGCAACCCTCAAATTCATACCTGTAACTTTGCTACCCGTCCTAATGGCGGAATTTGTAGAATTGAACATACAAACGCTTAAGTAAATGTTATCTTGCGTATTCGGATTCTATCTGAATTCAATGAAAATTAATGAATGAACAGTGTTCTTGCGAACTGTGAATATGAAATAGATTTGATATTCGTGAACTATCCAAATCTTTCCAGGTTATTTTTATTAAAAATAAAAAAGACCAGAATATCTTGACGTACCACATCTAAGGGCGTATACTGGGCATGATGATGAACGTACACCGGGTTGTTTTCCTTGGTGTTGTACGAAACGAGGAACGACCACCGCCGCTTGTTACTGTTGTTGGCGTCGCTCTTATGGATCAAGTTGGCGTTGAAGATCAAAGCATCACCTACATAAGTAAGAGAAGTGACTATGGTTCCTCATTTATTTCTCAAACATCAGCATTTCACTTACATGTAGTTACCCAATAGACGACCTGCATCCTAATTCAAGGCTATACCCAAAAGCTCCAAAAACATATATTTATTCCCAAAAGAAACAAAAATGAAATAAATGTTTGTTTTTAAATTTTAACTACTTCAATAAAAGGGCTTTATTATGTCTGTTGTAAAGTTTTAGAATTCGCGATAACTGTCAAACCTGGTCTCTTGACAGATACCTGAATGCGTAAAACCGACCATGCGACATTGTATTAAAAAGGTTTTACGAACAATTAATACACAAGCAGTACATGTACAGTTAAAGTGACCAAATAGGCGATGTATGTAAAAAAAGAAAAAAGTCAAGACAATTACATTAGTTTTAAGACCGAAATAAACAAGGTACATGTAGTTGGCACTTAAGTACTGTTTGAGTATTGCAACTGATTCTTTTCCGACCGATTTTGACATAATCTACGCGTGTGCATGCGTGTGTGTTTGTGTGTGTGTGTGTGTGTGTGTGTGTGTGGGTGGGTGGGTGTGAATAACGTGAATAAATTTGTCTTCAGATTAGGACACCCTTACCAGGCTCCAACTCCACGTACTTCAACGGGCAAACTTTGGCCAGGTGCTCGATTCGTTCTTCATCAATGCCGTTCTGGCCCCCAACTCTGTGATGATTCTGGCGTCCGGCCTTGTGGGAACCTACCAGAACCTTTAGTGTAGAAGAACAAATGCTTAGAAAGAACAAAACAGAATCTAGCAGGATTGGAAAAGCTGGTAAGTTCATCAGCTATAGGGGGAGCCGACAAGAATGTTGATGCCTTGCTATTCTTATTTTTCATGGCTTTTACTATTCATTGTTTTATGAACTATTGAGCTATTTTCTAGTTGTAAATGAACACGATTATCTATACAAGACGACTAATTTGTCGAATAGCCAGCATTGTTCACGGAATATGGGCCCCTAATAAATTTTGAAAACATTATTAAACATTGATGATTTGCATAACTATTTCCCAATTTGATATCAAGTTAGTAAAAATGACCCCGTGTTAAAAAAAAAAAAAAAAAAAAAAAAAACTTC